CTTCCCCCCCCCCCCCCTCTTTATATATGTATGCACGTAAGCTCGATGATAAACGATGCGCTACCGAAGGAGAAAAGGGGAATGCGAACAAAATTGGAATCTCTCGGACGGAACGACCATTCATTTTCAATCCCAAACAGGTGACGCAACCACATTTTCTCGTAGATTTTGAGGCCGGTCTTCAATAATTGATGAAAGGAAGCAGACAATGGATTCATTTGAAAGGAGGAGAATAAATCACCGTAATTTATCATCTCTAATGGTAGCGGGGAGGCCTACGGAATCAATTCAAACGTCTAAACGAATAACCTTTACATTGTCTACACAAAGCAATATGAATGACGAAATGCTGTACGCAGTTCGAGGTGAATTGCAATATGCTTATGCGCCATAAAAACATGGATGTATTTTTCCACCTTCCGGCTGGGGCATATATCAGTGCTGTAGTTTGTAACAAAAGCGTTCAACCAAGCATGATAATTTTCATAGCACTTATTGGAATTTGAAATTAATTTATTATTAATAGTTACATGTCAGAGTTAGTTAGTTATCAAAAGCTATTTATTAACTGTAGCTGACAAAACGCGAATTCTTCCTTGGTAGATTGATTGAATAATTGATGTTGGTTGTATACTCAAAGAGACTAAATTACATTTTCAGTAACAGAGGTATTAATCCACATTGAAAGTGTTCAAAGAGATTAGGCGCTTGATAATGACCAATCAAATTTGTGAGTGCTGATTGATACAAACAAGAATAAAGCATGAAGAAAGTGCGAGAATTCCATATTATATCCAACTGTAGGCCAACGAAAGCTTGATTTTCTTTGATACTTTAGTGATAATCGCGAGGGGTGCGCGAAAGACTTACCTCCATGTGGTCCACCCTGGGCAACGTATACTCATAGGGCAAAAAGTCTATCAACCGGCAGTTGAGTTCTGACATCAAACTACCATCACCCCATTATATGCCATATTTGAATACTTCCACAGTACTCGCCTCACCTTTCATCTACCTTTGTATCTGTCTCCTTTACATCTTTGAAACGCTCTTCTCTTCCCTCCCCCCCTCTCGAATTTTAGCCTTTCGACGTTCCTTCCTCTCTGAGAAGCTTGAAGGAAAGTAAAGGGCTAATGATAACTAACAAAACGCCTGCCATTTGATCTAAATAAATTAGTGATAATCCCCCATATTGCCCAGCATTACATTTATTTTGAAATATAAAAAAATCCTTCAAGACATAGTTATCGCTGATGCTAAAGCAAGCAACTGATGTCTTCAACAACTATCAACGTCTATAGTTGTTGTTAATAGTAACAAGATCCCAAAGTCGAAATAATAATACTACTTATGGGTGTTTAAAATACATTGACCAGTATTAGTAGAAAATAAATAGCCTTTTCTATGGGACTTTTTCCTTGATCCTAAAATGAATCCCATTTGAACAAATAAAGTCATTGTGATTAAGAGGTCTAATCGAATATTATCCCGCGAGTTCGATCGATTGAGCAACATTTATGCTCAAAAGTGCTTTCTCATTGACTGGAGTATCGGCTATTGGATCACTACGATCATACCTGGATTTGCAAGAACACTTGAGAAAAATTCATCGCTGCAGCTATTGGCTAATTAGGCAGATAATCATCCATCACAAATGCAAGCATCGTTATTTGAAAAGCAGATGAGTACTCAGACCTGTGGTTCATCCTCTAAACACCGAAGCGAAATCAATACCATTGCCCAAACATCCTACCATATTCGAGGCGATACGTACCTCATCAATGACATTTAGCTATAGTGACGTGCATTTTGAGCATGTTTCCTCACTTGCGAACAAATATTGCAGCACATTACATCTATTCCAGTGTCCTCAAAAGGTGACCAGTCATTAAACAAAATAGAAAATAAATGATACAAAATTTTCTGAAGGAAAGCACGCAAGGGTTTAATCAACGAAAATAAAAACTAAGCATGTTCCTGAAAGGCTTTCGTACTAGAGACTCTTTCAATTGATATCATTTAGAAGAACAGCTCAGATTAAGGAATTCATAGTTGATTTTGTGTTCTTTCGAATTTATCTCGTACAGAATTACCGTCCAACTTGAATTCTGAACTCCATTAAAATCTAAATGAAAATCCCTCAAATCATTGCTTTATTTGAACCCAACTCTAGAGGCTTATGGCGGTGATAAAACAAACAAACAAACGTTATCTGCAAGAAAGAAGGTATGCTTTTAGTGGGGTTAGGAATTGACTTCAAAGGATGTGTTGAGTGGGAGAAAATCACTTTTAAAGGGTTAATACCACAAAAAAGTGGATGATGTGTGGTGGTTGCCTTGGCTTAAAGGAGAATAAACGAAGGGATTAGTAAGAAATGTGTGAATAAAAAATATGGACACGATTTTGTAGGTTAAATCAATACTACATGCCAACTAAGAACAGAAAATTGCCCACATACATTTACATAAAAGGCGCCAAAAATCAAAGTTGAAGAGTAATTTTTAAGTGATTTTGCAACACTGACTTATAATTGCGTGTTTCAGAATTAATAGATTTTATGAAAATAGTATACCGTGTGACATCCATATATTTTATAACAAGAGAATGTAGAGTGCAGGGTCTAGACCACAATGAAAAGCTAACAGTAGACAATTGTCGAAAGTAGATATTAGGGAAATGGAAAATCTCCGACTTCCAGACACCAGGGCAGTACTATGAAAATCGTAACTCACGAAAGCGTTATCCCCTCCCCCTTATATACTAAAATTAATAAAACATGAATTACATAAACAGCATCGCGAATGCACTACCAACCCTAGAATTAAAACAATCCGTCAAGGATCTCACTAATTCGGGAGTCATAAAATTAAAATTAACCCACCCCCTCCCCACCCCTAGCCATCCAGCTAACCAACTAGTCTTTAACAGAGAGTGAGGACCGAAAGACAACTTTGCACGCTCAATTGCTTAAAGTAAACACAAAGTCCTCAGTTAAACTCGAACGACCGTCTGAGACCACAAATCAATTCATAAATACCTCTCTCTTCTCACATGGTTTATGATCTCGATCTCAATAGCCTTCTCTCACCACTCTCCGTACTTCTTTTCATCATGGTGCCTGGTGAAAGATCGATAGAGAAAGGAACGAAATAGTTATAAGTATACTTGCGAGTATGGAAGTGAGATGTCATCCGATTCGTTTTGCTACGCCTATACTATACTAGGATTTGCTAGGGGCAGAAATAGACGGAGAGAATACGAGGGTATGAAGTTTCGTGATAAAAAACGATAAACACGTATAAGAGAGTGCCTTTTTCCAAGTTAGAGGTCATGGGGTGGATGCAAAGTGATGTTAATGTAGCGTTACAAATGTTCGAGAAAGATGAAGAAGGACAGAAGCTTCTCTTTCTCTACCAAGTCTCAACAGTTGCCACCCTTTCACTTAAATGAGCCATGGAAGTTTATTTACTTTCTGTTGGTAAGAAAATTACTAATACGAAAAGAGAAGTCGCACTAGTAATTTACATTCTAGAATCAAGTGCGTTTGGGAATCAAAGGGTATGGTTCAATTCTCTGCAATGAACGAGTGAAACCCGGTTTGTGAGTAAGATAGTTTGATGAAATTCTACAAGTGACTTGAAAGGTTTCGACTTTTGTGTGCGCTTATGGTTGAGAAACCGAAACCAAGTCACCATTCAAAACAATATGAAACTCCGAGACGCGTCAGAATATGTACGCCAAGCTTAAACTTGAAATTAGCTCAACACAAAAAAAATTGGTAGTGAACGAATTCTCAAACCTGTCAGATGGCAAAAGCTAGACGGACTTATATTCCGCATTCTCTTAATTACTGTAATTGGGTGTATGAATGCTCAAGGAACATTGGACCTTAAGTAAGTAAACATCGGTCATTACGCAACTATCAAAGGGGAAAGGAAGTTTTTAAAAGCCTAGGAATTCCAACAAAAATTGATTAAATTGTTGAAAATTTAAGCTTAATTCCATCCAAGTTGATTAGCCCATGGGCACTCATACTTAAATCGGAATCATACTCAAAAGTTTAAGAAGACAAAAATTAATTAATTTGTGGAAAAACCACCCTGACACAAAAAAGTACAATCACCTTACCCTCAGAGGTACCATCATCATTTATTTCGAGAGCGAAGCTGCCCAAACAAAACTCCTCACTGCCTGTATAGCAATTGATAATGGTACTATCGTCTAGAAAAAATGAAAAGATTCTAAATTAAAAATACTTCACAGCACTGCTTAGATATAACAGTAAGTGTTAAACAGGGTCAAACCGTTTGCATTAGATTCTATGCGGGGAATCAAGAGACAAGCATTAATATCTCTACCATGAAGAGACGGCTAAAATAAAAAATAAGCAATAGACGCCAATAGAGAGTACAGACAATTGTCTTACAATGAGGCATTTTCGGTTGAAACCGCAAGCAGACTGGGAACTTTTCGCCGGTTTACGAGTGAAAAGAAGAGAATCCTTAAGAATTGTCGCAAAGGTGAAAGAATCATCTAATGAGTTGTGTGCAAAGTCCCAGGACCGATGTCCACCGGCACAATCTATGGTAAAATGAATGTTACCTCCCTCAGATATTAGATTTTCACCATTTGGCGGTATAATCTCAGCGGCCAGGAATTTTGTCTAGAAGGTAGAAAAAGACAGCAATACAACTTATTTTGGTTTCAGCATAATGTAAAACGATGAAACTTAGTTGAAGTAACATCAATGAATCAAGAAATATTCTAAAGCAAAAATCTAGATTATTACTACTTTTTACTACCCATTGAAAAATAAAACGGCCCCAGAGAAAAGTATAAAATAAATTCTGATTCCGATTAATCGCTCCTTCAATATGTTCAATTAAGGGGCGTGCGATAGACTTGCCTTCACGTGATGCACCTTGGGAAACGTAAACTCATTCGGCAAAAAGGTCTAAAAACCGGCAGTTGACTTCTGACTTCAAACTACCATGACCTGACTTTGTTTCATATTCGACCACTTCCACAGTACTCACCTTACCCTTTTCTCAACCTTCTGTCTCCTTTACATTTAAAAATTACCCCCCTATGAAGCCCGAAGTCAACGAGAGGGCTAATTATAACTAGCAAAACGCCTGCCATTTGATGTAAATTAATAAATATGCTGAGGAGAGCTCGATCACAATACAGTTGAAGATAATAGGACGCATATGAATTTGCCACTACATGTTGGGAGTCAGATATGCTGGGATAAGCAGCCAGTCCAATTATTCAGCCGGTCAACAGTACCGAAAATAATCTACATCAAGAACATGAGAGCAAGCTCGGGGAAATAGAGTTTCCGGAGATATGACACAGCGAAATTCACCCCACGCATTTGCCACTTCCATAGAGACCAAGCATAATGGCACAAACAACACAATTTATTATATCTTTGCCATTTTATAGCAACTATAAAGGACAATAACATATTTGCATATTCAAAAGCACATTCAATGATAGAACAATCCAAAGAAGGCGCAAATTTCGCCAAAAGTTCTTAGCATAGACACAACACCCATCCAAATCAAAATCACTTATTGAAAGTACAAAAAAATCACTTTCACGTTCCAAGTTATCATTAGGATCAAATAATTAATCACAATGATCACTTAATTCTTTTCAAATCGACCTCTTCTCCACTTCCCACCAAACGAAAATTGGATACCGACTAATCGAGAGAGCATTTCAAGAGGCGGAATACATAATTGTGGAAGAAAGATTTAAATTATTGATAACAAGGGTGTCATAAAACGAGGAGTCGGATAATGGAAAGGGAAACATTTGCTACAATGCATTTACCATAGTAAAATTTGCATTATTTAAATAGTAAACGGACAAAAAGATAAAGTACCATTAGAGGAGAAAATGCTGAATAAGGTTTGCAAAAGTTTCATGGTGGAACCTTTTACAATTTCACGATCGCAATGGATTTTAAATGTGAAATAAAAAAGACGAAATGGAAGCGTTAATTTACGTCAAGAAGTTTATATAAAATAGAATGTTTGTCATAAATTCTTTCGGGAAGCATCAACATTATCTAAAATCATTGAGCCCTATGTGGATTAAATGCCAATTTGCTGCACAGTTGAATGCAGATTCAAAGCCTCAAGAAACCTCAAGTCAAGAGTGCCTTAGAACAAGAGGAAAGTCAAAATAGAAGAAGTCCTATTCAGAACTTAGAAAAAATACCCTTTCAACAGAATAGTATACGAAGTTGAGTTTCCATTGTTATTATTAGATCTGAAAAAAATTAGTGAGAAATGGCATTATCAGGCTATCAATAGGCTCTGAGTATATAGAGGGTAAGAACTCATTCAAAGTCTGAAAGTTGAACTTCGGAAGAGACAGCAAATCTAGAAATCAAATGCAATTAGGATCATTTGATGTCGCTACAGTAGCACTAAATGCATTATTTATTATTTCCAATGAATATTCTAAACAAAGACGCCTACAATAAAAAGTAAGCAGGTTTTGCTTGTCATAACTAATTCCACAACGTAGCACTGCTACAGAGAGACAGACAAGCATAATGCACTGAAAAGGATACTGAATTGTTTAAGCATCGTTAATCATTTTTAAAGTTGGTCGCTCAATGCTTCTAAATGAATAATTGCAACTTATTGCAAATTATTCCACGATCTTATTTCGATTACTGGAAAGTGGAACGGAGATAAAAAAAGAAGGTAACGCGTGAGTGCAAGTCGATAAGCAGATGAACTTTCAGAAGAAATGTGAACGTGCACAAAAGGACAAAACACCAACTTCGTAAATATGTATTAGGCAGGATAGGGGACACTTGGCGACGGAAAATTATTTCTCAGATTTTGCCGAAACGATTTACTTGAAATTTTAAGAGAGTCTACTTTAGGGACTTGGCTATGTCCGGAACTACGACAATCTAAAAATTTAAATTTTTACTATTTTTAAAAAATTGAAGAATGTTCAAAAAATTGGTACAAAAATGTTTTTTCCTTTAGACAGTCGCCATTTTGTTAAAAAATATAGCTAAAACTTGTCCGTAGTTCCGAACACAGCGACATCATTGTAGATTGATAATAATATTTATTTTTTGATTTCAGATTGCTTGGAGAGCTAAAATCGTGGGTATGATCATGCACCATATTTTTGGGACGTCCCACTCTATCAGCTGATAACAAAATCTAAAATTTTTTTCTTTTTTAGTTTTTTGTATGCTTCTAAGGTGAATAAATAATATATAAAAAATTTATAATAAAAATTTTGGTTCTTTTTTTACAGCACTTCAAAAATGACCTAAAATTCATGCCTCTAGACCAGAATACCCACTTAATTTTAGTATAAATTATTTGCTAATTTGAAGTAATTGTCAGAACCCACCAAGGTGTAGATCTTAATCGGTGTTATTAGGTTGGCAACTAAGTCATTGCCGATTTCAAATAAGAAGGCAAATTCGGAATTTTTGTTTAAAAATATAACTTTATTCAATTAGATATTGGCCGTTCTTCTCGATGACCTTGTCCATCGTTCTGGCAGAGTAAAAATTCCCCGTTCGTAAAATGTCTGGTCTTGCTATTAAAAAACTGAATTGGGTGTGATCCGACATCATCCGCGTTGTTAAAAATTTTACCATTTAAAGAGTTTTGCATGGAACGAAACAAATGGTAATCCGAAGGCGCAAGGTCAGGGCTATATGGTGGGTGTGACAAAACATCCCAACCCAGTTCCAATAATTTTTGCCGAGTTACCAAAGATATGGGGGGGCCTTGCGTTATCATGATGGAAAACAACACCCTTCCGATTTGATAATGCCGGCCGCTTATCTTCGATTGCATCCTTCAGTTTTTCCAGTTGTTCAACATACACATTTGAATTTATCGTTTGGTTCTGCGGCATGAGTTCAAAATACAAAATTCCTTTGTGATCCCACCAGACTGACAGCATTATCTTTTTTTGTGAATCTCTGCTTTTCATACTGTTTGGGCTGGTTGATCTTGCTTCACCCATGATCTCTTGCGAGTAACATTGTTAGAAACCATCCACTTTTCGTCGCCAGTAACTAGGTTCTTCAGAAATGGATCATTCTCATTGCGTTTTAGTAGCGAATCACAGATGCTAATCCGTTGCGTCAAATGAATTTCCTTTAACTGGTGAGGGATCCATAAATCAAGTTTCTTGACATAACCAAGGGTTTTTCATTTTTTTTTTCAATGCATGTATGCGACACATTGAGCTTCTCTGCAATATCTCGTGTTGTGCTGTGACGATTTGAATCGATAATGGCCTTGATATGGGTTTCATCCACTTCGACTGGGCGACCAGATCGTTGTGAATTTTTCAGTGAAAAATCACCGGAACGAAATATTTCAAACCAATTTCGACACTGCCTTTCTTTTAAGGCTTTATCTCCATATACGGCACATAACTTCTTTTGTGCTTGCGATGCGTTCTTGCCTTTTCGGAAGTAAAACAATAAAATGTGTGGGAAGTGCACGTCCTGTTCTTTCATTTTTAAATTGGGATAAAAACAAAACTAAAGAACTAAACCAAAAAAATTTTACTAATTAACCTAGAAGCCCATACAGTAATAAAAAAATATAGGTTAGATGCTCTGGCCACGTTAACAAAACAAAAGAAAGTATAGAGTGAATCTGTCAACAAAAACGGCAATGACTTAGTTGCCAACCCAATATTTTGAATAATTTACCACTATTCGTTTCATAGCGCGTTGCTAATGAATTCAACAACGTGCAGGCCATTTTAGGAGAGTAATAAGGATTGCACCAAATATGCTCAGTTTAAAATAAAAGTGGATTCCATAAATACAATTACTGCTTTAAAAGTGACTAAATATTACTTGATAACCCAAGTAAAATGATTGGCGCACTTATTCATTAAATGCAATTTCGGGAAACAAACTTGCTTGTTACGTTGAAGCTGTAACTCATCAATGTTCATAACACATTCACATGAAATGCTGTGATGAGCCCTACTAAAACAAGAAGTCCTTTCCCAGTTTCAACTACCAGGCCATGATTGTAAGAAATTACACATGAACAAAATTATCATGATTAGTCATTCGGTTAGACCAACTGCTAAGCAAATCCCATTAAGAACCATAAAGATCAAATCATACTATCGACTTTGCAACATTTGATTAGAAGAAAATGAACCCCCCCCCCACAGCTATGAGGCAGAAGACATCTGAAGGGCCCGAATTTCAGGAAACGTATGACTCTCAACATCATGAATCCCTGATCCACTCCAATTTAGCACTCAACCTTTTACTGTTTCACATATTCTACCCCGATGCATTATGATAAGTGCAAATATGATAAAATAATAATAATAATACCTGAAATTATTTTAAACAAAAAATCGCAAATTTCGTTATTCAATAAATCTATTTCATAAAATGGTACAAAAAATTACCCTCTAATATATATTTATAAGAGTTATCAATTACAGCTATGGAAAAAAGGCTGGACACTTTTCAAAACACGAGATTACAAAAGAGAAAATCATTGGAAACCATAACTCATCTACCATAGACAAAAACTGACCCTGCCACAAGGTGAAATAGGAAATACATAACTGGGCTGTTTCATGCAACACAAAATGACGATGTTTAGCTATTAAAAGATGACGTAGGAAGAGTTTTTAATTCCGAAAAAAAGACTGTACGAAATTTGTCATTTTTTAGACTTGTATTACTTGTATACATATTAGCGACAAATAATATTCTTAATTCAGGAATTCAAGCAGTCATGACAAGTCATCATAAACTTCCTATTCTTGAATTCGCAGTGCGTTCACTCTTGGACAATTCGATGTTTGAAAATCAAAGTTTGGACGCACGGCCTTAGAAATGTTAGTGAAAAATAAACTCAAAACATTGTCCAATCATTTCAAGAATAGATTTATGGAAACACTGGACATTAAAGAGTCTCCAAGTAAAGGCCGATCAACATTCTAACTCGAAAAAAAAGAACTTAAGTACAACTCAAAGACACTAAACAAGAATTTACTAGCGTTATCGCACTTCAAATATAATTGAAACGGAGAAGGAAAACAGCTACGCCTTCTTGGAGAGGAAAAAGTTGAGAAGGCAAAATTATTGAGTATCTCTAGAAATCTAATTGAACCCTGACAATTTTTTGGGAAAAAAGAAAAAAACAATGAAAAGTTGGGGCGAAAGTCAGGATTTACCAAAGTGAGTAAAAAGCTCATGTCGTGGTGATTTGAAAGTGGAAAAAAAGGTAGATCAAGGGGTGTTTACCAAAGACAGAAGCACAGTTTGCAAAGACCTTTGGCAACGTTTAAGCAAATAAATCGTGCATTATTTATACTAAGCTAAAATAACGCCTCTTTT